TGTGTGTGGGTTCCCACATAACAAAGACACACGATTTTGGAGCCTTGTTTTAAATTGTTTTTTTTTTTTTAATTTTTTTTAATCTTTGCAAATTTTTAATTCATTTAAATTTGGCAGGCTTGTGAGCAATAATTTTCTCTGTGTTGTGTCAAATTTACAAGACATTTTTTTTGTCCCTTTACAAGGTCTTTAAATAGTTCAAGGCCAACAGCTCCCACATCTTTTTAACACATTTCATCTTATTAAGACACACTTTACAGAGTATAACTTAGCCCCTGTTCTCATTCTGGCTGTCAAGCTTTGGGGGACTTTCGTATAACATCACTTGGAGGAAATGTGAATAAGACGACATTATTATAGGACTATTGTGGATTTAAACATCCAAATTGAATCAAAGCATATAATTTTTTCCGCTTACGTAATGCTAATTTACAATGTGAAGCACCATAGATAGGCTAACAAAGCTAGCATCGATGTTGTTAGTAGAAAGCTTCAAAGAATTGCTACTTTAACATGGAGCAGCAACTCATACAAACTGCAAATATTTTCTCCTGACTGCAACTTAGTAGTTATGCACCATCCCTGCCTCTTGTTCTTGCTGTGAATGACATTGCATCTACACCATCTCCCCACCCAAAACAAATTTAAATTGCATATGAAATTCTCTCTGGTCAAAATGCTGAGTGGCTAGTAACTCTGGGAAACCAGCAGCCAGAGTGCCTGGTGATGAAAGTAGTTCAACTGTTTAACTTCCATTACAACATTGCACAATCATTATCTAATAACACGTCATAAGAATATAAAGCTTTAAATAAAATACATCGTACTCAGCAAAAATGCATGTAAATTGTAGACAAACTCCATTGTCTTTTGCTAGTAGCAGTGATCACTTGTAGACCGACATAGTTATGTGGCTACTGTGAAAGGGGCAAATAAATCCTTTACCGCCAAGCAAGCCAGCTGCAAGCGTTCTTTGACTTAGCCTCACAATGTTCAGGTTTTCTTTTCTTTTTCGAAAAAACAACCTTGAAAAACAATTTTCAGTCACGTAAAGGTGTCCGCTTCATGGAATGAATACCACACGAATGGCTGTGAACCAATCAGAGGACGGAAAAGTGCTGACCTACCCGAAAGGATTCATGCAGGCCCTCCTATACTGAATCTGAAATCTGTATGTTTCAGATTCCTAAAAAAAGAAAAAAAAATTCTCATTCTTTCAAATGTATGGGGCCTGCAATCCTGCGGCTGATGGCCTTGGGAAGTGTACACCGATATAGCAAAAAGAAAATAATAACAATAACCCACAAATAACTTTGAGATGCGCAAGGTGGAATGAAGACAAAAGACTGCTGGAAACAAAATTGTAAAATATTTTACAAATGAATACAATGTTTTAAATGCAGGTCAGTACTTTTGATGTTTCAGTCCGCAGAGAAGGCCTGAAGGCACACCATAAAAGACAATCACTTAAAAATACCTGATATAGTGATTTCACCAAAAAATGGATGTAGAAATTAGGTAAGTAATTCTAATATCCTAATTGCCACCCCTTGTGCCTCAGCCTGATGAGATTGAAAGGGACAGGGAAGGTTCAGTGTGCGGAAGACATCCTAAAGTCACCCATGATTTATAGATGTCCTCAAGGAAATGCTGCATCTCTGTACATTTTCATGTCCTAGTTAACCACCATCTGGAGCAAGGATGTGACATTCTTTATGTAGGGAATTACACAAAGAAGTGGAACTTGAACTGATCCCTTCGAGAACTGGCATTTGAAAAAAAAAGACAACTGGCATGATCATGAGAATTCATCACACTCATTATTTTTCTATATAAAACAAAACCTGTAAAAGAAACTGTCTTGAAATCATTAAACAATAAACACTCAATTGTTTTCAAATACAGTTTCTACCAATGAAGCTTTAGTACCCTTCGTTGAGGCAGCTGAAGCCAACACTAACAGAGAAAAAACGCTTCAGCTTTTGGAGAAATGCAAAGTCAATTTGCTCAGTGCTGACAACCAATGAAAATCTTTACATTCTGAAAGAGACACGTTAACTTGGCCAACCAGGGAGCACTTCACTCTTCATTTCGCAACAGTCTGTGTTCCATTTACAATGAGATTTGTTCCTGTTTAGCTTGCAACAGTTTGTATCAGACTTTGCCTCGTTTTCTTCAAACAAGACAGTTGTGTCCTGCTGCCTGAAGTACTCACACTTAAGTAGGAGTGCAGATACTGTGTGTGTGTGTGTGTGTGTGTGTGTGTGTGTGTGTGTGTGTGTGTGTGTGTGTGTGTGTGTGTGTGGGTATATATATATATTAGGGTGGTCCACATTTTCATGGCAAAAAAAAAAGTTTGTCGGATTCGTCGGGCCGGGTCGGAATTCTTGTCGATACTATGGGACAAGGTTCTGTGCAAAATTTCATTCCGATCTGATGATATTTTCCCGTCCCGCAAAGCGGCCAAAGTTTCCACCATAACAACTGGTCTCAATAGGGTGAACATGTGTATGTTAACCGTGTATTTTGCCATGCGTGACACTGGCTGGGCTGAATGTTGCCCGAACGATCACCTCCTGACTAACTAACCATTCCATCGCTGCTCTCAGCAGCCGGAGACAAACTCAAACGCACGCCTAACACACAACGGTCACCTACTGGCGAGCTAATATCTTTCAATTGAAGTCGAGAATCGCCGGAATTCTTACTGGACGCTGAGCTGAGGACGCTTTTCGACA